GAAAGACATGGTTGGGTGAGTTTGGTGTGGAAGATCTTGACTGCCCCCCACAGAGCCCTGACCTCAACCCCACTGAACACCTTTGAGATGAGCAAGAACAGAGATTGCGAGCCAAGTCTTACGTCCAACATCAGTGCCTGACCTCACAAATGCTCTTCTGGATGAGTGGGCAAAAATTCCCTGAGACACACTCCAAAATCTTGCGGAAAGCCTCCCCAGAAGAGTGGAAAAGAGCTGCAAAAAGGGGACCAACTCCATACTGGTGCCTATGGATTTAGGGTGCTTTTTTAATGCACCAGGTACCATATTTTTGGTACTTTCCCTTTTTCATTGACTTCTGGTTGAGTACCAGTACCAAAAGTTACAGTACTTAAAATACAAAACCAGCTAGGATATTAAATTTCTCACAAAACTGTCTAGGAGTGACAGCAAGGACGAAGAGCCCATACAATAGCAGTGGATTAAACTTTAGACTGATTGTTAAAACATACAGGCCTACTAGACAATCTTTAAAATGAATAATTATTTGGGGCAGCGTGTTATTCTACGGGTCCTTGAGCAAGACCCTTAACCCCCAGCTCCCTGGGCACTGCTACAGGTGGCTGCCCTTCGCGGACAACTTACTCTACGAAAAAGAGACAGACCGATGCAGCTGCTTCACACTCGGCTGTGAACTGCTCCAGTGAGAGCCGAAGGTCACGGTCTGATGAGGCCAACAGAACCACAACATCTGCAAAAAGCAGAGACCCAATCCTGAGGTCACCAAACCGGACACCCTCAACGCCCTGGCTGCGCCTAGAAATTCTATTCATAACAGAATCCGTGACAAAGGGCTGCCCTAGTGGAGTCAAATCCTCACCGCAAACGAGTTACTGCCGACCATGTGGACCAAGCGCTGACACCCGTCATACAGGGACCGAACAGCCCTTACTGTATAAGGAAACCCGGCACCCCATACTCCCGGAGCACCCCCCACAGGACTCCCCGAGGGACGCGGTCGAATGCCTTCTCCAAGTCCACAAAACACATGTAGCCTGGTTGGGAAAACTCCCATGAACCCTCCAGGACCCTGCCGAGAGTATAGAGCTGGTCCACTGTTCCACAGCCAGGGTGAACATCACACTGCTCCTACTGTATCTGAGGTTCGACAATCCGACAGACCCTCTTCTCCAGCACCCCTGAATAGACCTTACCAGGTGTCCGACCAGGCCCCATGGGTGCAGGCCTGGCCACCAGGTGCTTGCCATTGAGCCCCACCCCCAGGCCTGGCTCCGGGGGGGCCCGGTGACCCGCGTCTGGGCAAGAGAAATCGTGGATCAATGTTTTTACTCATCATTAGGGGTCTAATTAGCTGCACTTCGTCTGGTTCCTCACCCAGTGCCTGTTTGCCTTGGGTGACCCTACCAGGGGCATAAAGCCTCGGGCAACTTAGCTCCTGGGATCATTGGAACATGCAAAGCCCTCCACGACGATAAGGTGCCGGCTCCAGGAGAGGGCATATAGTATACATATAGCGTAAATAATATACATATAGCGCATATCTCATTGTACTTGTACAATGACAATAAAGCATCTTTATCTTTATATAACATACATATAGTGTATATTTCCCCCCGATGTTACACATACTAATTAAGAAGACCCAAGTGTTGTGTTTATGTGACAGTATCGACAGTAGCGGTTCTAAACCATTTTTAGAGGGAGAAGCAGACTGGGGCCAGTCATTCTGTTAGGGGGGCAGATGCATTTGTCCTTAATGTCCTCCATGTATTACTTGGACTAGATTGCCAGCATTAAGAAGCAAAAGTCAATTCTGAAAACCGATGTTATTCCTGCAATACTTTGCAGTCACATTTTATAGTTTTTACAAATATGTAACTCCCTCTGATTTCTTGTTCAAACTGTTTTGCTTCCACAAGCTTGATTATTTTTTCTGTCAGCTTCGCTTTTCACCAACTGAAGTGTCCATCAAGAAAATGTGCTTATGTCAATTTGCTTACGTTAAATGTGATTCGTATGTTCCCAGCGCACAAACTTTTAGCCCACATAAATAAATGAATGAATAAATAAAGATGATAATAATAATAATAATAATAATACATTTATTTCAGACCCAAGTAGCTTACATATTTAGGAGGGTCACGGGGGGGCTGGACCTGCCCCCCACATCCGCCCCTGAATATCAACAATTGGGGATTTTTGGGATTCTTATTTGGTTAGTGCTGATTAAGTAACCAGAATGTTAATAAGCTGTAGTGGAATACTGGCAAAGGTTAATTTGCTACTAACAAAATTCCCATCTAATTTGCTACTAACAAAATTCCCATCTTCCAGACATGCAAATCTATATTACACAAATCAAAGCATATGACTTTACATTCATTTGAAGGTAAATGAAGTCTAAGGAAAATGAAACGCGTAGTACATGTACTGTTGTGTAGCCACTAGGTGGCGTACATTCCCTTATGTAGAAATGCTGTTGTATAGCCAATAGGTGCCGTACATCCCCGTATGTTGTGCATTTATTATTTTTTATTTAAAAGCAGCCCTAATAAAATTCCGGGCGACTCAGCACTGGATAAATGCCTGGAAGACGGATTTGTGGATTTTATGAGTTTTAAATTTTTATAATTCATTTTTAGTACATTTAATGTTGAAAACAGGCATGTTTTCACACCACAAAACAAAAAATGTTTGCAGAAGCACAGTTGTTTTTCGAGTGTAACATGGATATTCCATTCCACTCATTATATAAAACATTTCACATTACAACATCATTAGTATAGAATATTTCAAAAATCAGGAAAAGAGAAGAAAAAGAAATGAATGAAAGAAAAAGTGAGATTACGGAGGAGAGGAACAAATAACTCCCAAGTAGGCAGAAAAAAAACCCTCAGAGGGTCCAGGGTGCAGACTGACCTTCTTATTATCCAGGGTGCAGACTGACCTTCTTATTATCCAGNAGACTGACCTTCTTATTATCCAGGGTGCAGACTGACCTTCTTATTGTCCAGGGTGCAGACTGACCTTATTATGGGAAACTGGGAAAGCTTTATTTTGTCATGGTGGCAACAATATCCTGCCCCATCAGACAAAAGCCAGTCAGACTATTGAGCCAAAGGCAGATGACGTTTATGGGATGGAATACAGAACTGCAGTGATGTATTACTGTCACTGTGACAAAATGAAAATGGCTGAATTTCTCATTCCTTGAGTCAGGAGTCCATACCAGCTCGTTTTAAATAAATTTATTGATAATTTTGTTTCTCGTTAAGTACATAACTTTTGCACATCACTTGTGTCATGCGCAGGGACGGATTACGGACCTGGACAGCGGGGCCACTGCCCAGAGGCCCTTGGGGTGCAGGGGGCCCATGGGGCCCCTAGCCCAAAACAATTTGCAACGCTTATCAACAATGTATTTTCATTTGTCTATTTTAGAGGGCCCCTGACCCTATAGGGCCTCTGATGGAAACATGGAGAGAGGGCGTTTGGCTGCCAAGGGCCCTTGAATTGTGGTGGTTGTGGTGGTGGTGGTGGTGGTGGGGGGGGGGGGGGGGGGGGGGGGGGGGGGGGGGGGGGGGGGGGGGGGGCCTTGAGAACGTTTTGCCCAGGGGCCCACACAACCCATAATCCGTCCCGGGTCATGCGCTCTATGCGCTGGGTAATTGTATTTTTTTCAAAAGAACCCCGCCAATCTTTTATATCATCGATTTTAAATAGCAGCACGAAGTCACTTTTTTAATATTAAACTGAAACGGAGGGCTGACGATGACATTCCAGTAAAGAACATTTATGAATGCGTTCCTGTTTTGGTCCCTATTTAAAACAATCTAAATGAACAGCCAAGAAACCATTCATGTTTTGGTTGTGTTGGGATTTCTTCATTATTACTATGCTGTTATACGGTTAGAGATAAACCATTTACAGGATGTTCACCGTTATAGTTATAGGGCCCGATGTAGATCATGTGTCTCACTATAAACTATGTTATCCGGGAGCAAATGAAACTGCTTCTGCTGACCATCACGAATGATTGTGATGTGAAACTACAGGATTCCAGACAAACATTGACTCTAATTATCAGACGACCTCTATGAAAAAGCCCATGTCCTCAAAAAACATGCAAGGTCGCATTCCTGTGACACTTGTCCACCAGAAAATGAGTAACTTGCTTCCAATTTCCAGGTTTATATTGTAACAGGACTGAGCCAGACGCGGACCAGCACATCCTGCTTCAGCAGGCTACTCATTTGCATATGTCCCTCCCACCCGCCACATAGGGGGCGCTGCTTGGCAGGCGCCCCCCCTGGGGGCCTGTACAACCAGACCATGTGGCCCCAGAAGAGGGGCCGGAGCCAGGGAGGCGTGGTACCGCTTCTGGATGCACAGGCCACGTGAAACCTGTGGTGAGCGGAAAGGCCATTCTATGCCGTTGGCAGAGCTGGTCAATATCAATCTGCTTTCTGGCTTCGCTGGCAGGACTCTGGATATTCTTAGTGAAACACGACCTTCCTGGAGTGGGGTGACTTGCTGTTGTTTACTTTTATCCACTGGGCGACAGGCATGACGTCTGCGATGAGCTGGTTTAGATACGTGTGCTGCTTCTGATACTCTGTTACCATAACTAACTAAACATGACCTCAGACGGACAGACCGATTGTCTCAACCTTCCCGAGTCCTCAGACGTTACCATGGAGATGCCCCAGACCACAAGTCACCATTCCCTCTTCCTGAGCAGTCAGTCACCAGGGCTGGACTGCGATCATGGTAACTTCTGGTAAGCAGAATGCCATTCAGCCATGTCGGGCACCATCAAAGACACCCATTCATGCCAGCATCCGCCCCTCCCAGCTTCGGCCATGTGCTACCTCCTAATTATGAAATAGCCACAGATTTGTGACAGTTCCGATATCCTGTTTCACCGGAGAGTGAGGAGAGAATTGCCCAAAGCACAGCTGTCAGGAACATACTGCCCACCCCCCCCCAACCACAATCTCACAGCATGCAGGAGCTGTTTACAGCAGCACTGCTCAGGAAATGACACAACGTTAGCGCTGCTGTCGGTGGCTTGCCATGCGATCTGAGAATCACCGTACAGAGACCGTCTTTCCGTTTTGTCTTCAGAATTAAGTGTCGAGTCGTCGTGATTTTAAACTGTCATATTTGTCGATAGTCATTTTTTTCGCTGGTGAATTTTACATGGCTGTATTTATGCTGTTCATTGTGTGTAGAATTTAAATGGGTCTCTATTTTCATCCCGAGATCTGCAGTATTTCATGACGAGCTCGGCTTTTCTAGTTGCGCAGCATGGAGGACAGAAGGACGGGCGCATCATCTGGACATCGGATAACGCGTTTCAAAGGACAAGCATATAAATTCAAGGCTCGCTAAATACGCCTTGAAGAAAAAAATGAATGGTCGTCGTTTTTGAGCTGGCAGACTGCTTTGCAGGAGACATTTTGCTGATCAGACATGCCGATACTTGAGGGCAGACGGGGCGCCGTCATTCTTTCGGCACTGTCAATCATCAGTGTATTCGTTTTTTGTGAATATATCATATATTACCCGACGATCCTGCAGTGCCACTGGCCCCGGGGGCATGAAGAGGACGGGGTTCCGGCCCTTCGCGTTTTATTTCTGGCGGATACACACCTACTGGGCGCCATCAGGGGACACTGGTTCGACAAACTGCGGAGGTCAGTTCAATTAAATCACAGGCTACGGGCTTCTTAAATTTCCGATGAATAAGCGCATAATTAATCACCAATAATATCCCTCAGTAAACCTTAGTTTAAGCTGTGAGATATTAATATAGTGGGACCTCCGTATCCGCTGCTTAGTGTGGTCTGAAAACAACAGATTAACAATTTCAGGAACGGTTCATAAGTGTCGAACCGCGAAGCAGGTGAATACAGGCTGTACGTCTGCTTTCCATTCTTCCTCATTTGATCGGTATAAAAAGCTCGATTTTCATTGTTCCGTCCTTCCCTCATACATGATTTGTGTTGCTATATTGTCTCTTGATAATTATGTTGATACGTCAGAATGCCTTTCATTCGAGAGAGTACAGTACTGTACAGTGTACTTTCTGATCACGGTATTTAATGTTGGTACTGTGTTACTGTGCATAATTTATCGGTTAAAAGTTAAAATGTAAGGATTGCTCGTTGTTATCCGCGGTTTCGGCCATCCGCAGTAGGTCTTGAAACGCATCACCCGCGGACACGTCACACAGGGGAAGATTATAATGTTAATAATCCAGTTTGGCTGGTTCGCAGTATTGCGGATGCACAACACATTCCTAAAGGGACTGGTGAGGTACAGTGGCCCTCAAGTGCACAACTCAACACATAAAGGAAAGGGCAAAAATAAAAAAGCATCACATTATATGTAAATGCTCCCAAACATTGAGAAAACAGATTTTTTAAATATATTTTCTTAGTTTATTTGCATTTCGTTAGTGTTGGGTTTCGCTCTTAAGGCCAGTGTAGGCTTGCACTGGATCTTGCAGGATAAGGTGGATCACTGCTGTCACTGCTCTCCAGGGAGTGGCAAATGGAAAGGGCCTTCCAGACCGCTCTCTGGCTCCTGCAGCCTGAGATAGTCTTCATCTTGGGGGACATCTTTGACGAGGGGAAGTGGAGCTCCCGACAGGTAGGGGGCGCCGCCAAGTGAGACAGCCGGGCATCGGAAATGCGGGAATTTGGGTGAGGGGACGAGGGGAAGTGCAGCTCCCGACAGTTAGGGGGCACCGCTGAGTGAGGCAGCCAGGCATTGGAACTGCGGGCTTTGGGTGAGGGGACGAGGGGAAGTGCAGCTCCCGACAGTTAGGGGGCGCCGCTGAGTGAGGCAGCCAGGCATTGGAACTGCGGGGCTTTGGGTGAGGGGACGAGGGGAAGTGCAGCTCCCGACAGTTAGGGGGCGCCGCTGAGTGAGGCAGCCAGGCATTGGAACTGCGGGGCTTTGGGTGAGGGGACGAGGGGAAGTGCAGCTCCCGACAGTTAGGGGGCGCCGCTGAGTGAGGCAGCCAGGCATTGGAACTGCGGGGCTTTGGGTGAGGGGACGAGGGGAAGTGCAGCTCCCGACAGTTAGGGGGCGCCGCTGAGTGAGGCAGCCAGGCATTGGAACTGCGGGGCTTTGGGTGAGGGGACGAGGGGAAGTGCAGCTCCCGACAGTTAGGGGGCGCCGCTGAGTGAGGCAGCCAGGCATTGGAACTGCGGGGCTTTGGGTGAGGGGACGAGGGGAAGTGCAGCTCCCGACAGGTAGGGGGCGCCGCTGAGTGAGGCAGCCAGGCATTGGAACTGCGGGGCTTTGGGTATGGGTAACAGCCCAGGCACCTGTGGGACAAGCTGCATAAAGAGAGGGTGGTGTGCAAAGGCAAAGCTGGGCTGGCACTGGTATCTGTGGTGATCGAGGACACTGGCATGACAGAACCTCACCCGGGTGCTTTAAGCCTAGTGAGAACCACAGTGTGGAGAAAAACCCTTTTTAATCACCCTCAAGGACTGGAAGCATGACGTCCAGCGATTTCTGCGGATGTTCCGACACCCCGGAGACACGGAGCTGATCGTACTTGTCGGAAACCACGATGTTGGATTCCATTACGAGTGAGTAGCAAAGGGGCAAAGCCAGATACACTTCAGACGCTAACATTCCCGTCCGTCGCAATTCTCCCCTTTTAATAGCGGAGTCAAAATGGAAAGAGCAAGCTGTGCAACATAAAAGCACAGCCAAGCTGGAGCACATCTGACCAGTCAGACAATGCTGATGACTTAGGTGTGTCCACACTAGGCTGATACGCCAGCTGCCTGACCGCACCTCCTCCTGCCATCTTCCCACCTTCAGGATGAACAGGTACAAGCTGGATCGCTTCGAGAGGCTCTTCAATTACACATCCGCCAAGATTCTCAGCAGGAAAGGGGTTAAGTGAGTCACTCCAAGGGCAAATTTCCGCACAATCTGGACTAACAAGTTTTTATGAATGGGTACAAATGACAAGCAGCAAAGGTATGCAAGTAGGTTGGGATCCATACATAATGTACTGTAACTCTACAAAGGCTGTGGCATGACATCTAATGCAGGTTTGGTTTAGGCGCCCCCTGGTGGCGAATGCCTGTACAGTAAACGACATAAGACTAGAAGTGACGGTTGCTGCTCGCTGGGAGTCCCAGCCCTGACAAAGCTCTGTTCGCGTCCCCAGCTTCGTGCTGGTGAACAGCGTGGCCATGCAGGGGGACGGCTGCTCTATCTGCCAGGCTGTCGAGGACCAGCTGCTTCGGCTGTCCCAGGACCTCAACTGCTCTTTGCAGGTACGGCCCCCGGTACCAGACAAGGCAGGAGTGAGACAGACATCCGCAGTATTCGGCCAGAACGTCAATCGCCACTGGGCACCAGCTGCAGCAAGTGAAGCACTGCAGCCTCCATAAAACATCTACACAACTCTTATTTGCAACAAGTCTAATTTATTCAAAGGTTTAATGCAAGTCATCTTCAGTGCAGATATCTAGGAAAAAGAATCGTAATTACTCGTTATATGATTTGATGCGTCTAACAAAACACAGCTAAATTTCAAAATGTATACTTCTAAAATGAGCTTTAGTGTTGCTACGGAAACCACTGGCCCACATTCTGCCAACGTCTTCCTGTAAGGAAATTAACATTCTGTTTCCGGTGTGAAACGCGATCTGCTTTTCAACTCGAGCGAGCACATTCTGAGCTACAAACGGAACACCGGTTTTCTGGAAAGCGGCTGACAGACTGTCATTCTGACATTTAGAATGTGTTCTGCAGTGGAGCTCACTGTACTGAAGGGTGTAGACACCATCCTCACCATCGCCGCTCCACATGCCTAGTCAGTTAAGGGCAGGCCAGCTGTTTCATGTTTAGATTTTTCACCCGTGCCACATGGAGAGTGATGCAGGCCTCACACCCCAGGTCTAAAGTGTGGGCTGACAGGTGTTTTCTCCAAGCAAACCCGCCACAGGCAACATTAAAAGATGTGAGACATGTCCTGCTAGTTCCATGGTGGAATGGGACAGAGTTACCACTAGGAAATATACTGGCGGTCAGTGAAGACCAGTGTTTTCCAACCTGGCCCTTGGGGACCCATGGACAGTCCACATTTTCGTGATCCCTCCCAGCTCCCTAGTCCTGTTTTTGCTCCCTCCTAGATGGAGCAAAAACATGAACTGTGTGCAGGTCCCTGAGCATCAGATTGGGAAACACTAGTATAGACAAACTGAGCCGTCCGAAGACCCATCTGAGACCAGCTGGCGTAAGCAGCAATTTTCAGTAGGGAAAGTGACCACAGAAGGTAGGGTTAGGGTTAAAAAAATGCTCGAAAAAGAGCAGCATGAAGTTCCATGATAAGCACCTCCCCATCACAATCAGAAAGGCGCTCACTGCAAGTGCAGCATCACCTTTACAGGGCCTGCCGTCATACGCCGTGCGGGAACAGTGCCGTGGCAGACGGAGCCTGCCTCCCTCCGCTCCCATCCTCCTGCAGGTAGGCCGCGCAGCCCTGTGAGCGCCTGCCCTCTTCACACACGCTTCTTCACGTGGCCGCACAGTGCAGGCGTACTTCATTGCTCCTGTTTGTGTGACTCCCCCGTCTCAGCACTACCCTCTGTACAGAGTCAGTGATGCCAGCTGCTCAGGCAAAGATGTAGCTCCACCGGAAGAGCGACACCTGCTGTTCAAAGAACGATACGACGTGCTCTCCAGGGAGGCCTCCAAGAAGGCAAGATATTACATTTATATACGGATAAACAGCGGCTAATTATTATCGAGTGATCTTCGCTTGCACTGGCATGTCAAGGTTTACAACAGATCGCATACTTAATGCCCATTTTTAACAAACCCGTTTATTACAATACACATAAGTGTATAAACAGTAATCAGCGTGAAACGTGGGAAGGCAGTGTGAAGGCAGTGGGAAGGCAGTGTGAAGGCAGTGGGAAGGCAGTGTGAAGGCAGTGCGAAGGCAGGGCAGAGTCAAGGTCAGAGTCTCACACCCTGGCAGCTGGAGTCTCACGTCCCTGACAAGCCCTGCGTGACCCATAAGCACTAACCTCTCGGGGACTATAGCTAAATTAAACGCGAGGTGACCCGGAACTGAGATGCATTTGGGGGGGTGCTCTACAAGTCTGATTCACGTTCCTCATCCTCCCCCGCAGCTGCTGAGGTGGTTTCATCCCCGCCTCATCCTCAGTGGCCACACCCATAGCGCATGCGAGGTTCTGCACGAGCAGAAGTACCCCGAGATCAGCGTGCCCTCCTTCAGCTGGAGGAACCGCAACGACCCCAGCTTCATCCTGGTACGGCGGCGCGGGCACCCGCGTTTAGGAGACCGGAGCCGTGTCACTCCTCCTGACCATGGACCTTGCTCTCTCTCTGCTCCAGGGCACCATCTCCCCAAGACACTTCGCCCTCCACAAGTGCTTCCTCCCCGAAGAGAGCACGGTCATCGGTGTTTACTGTGCCACCAGCATCACCCTGGCCCTCGTTCTCGCTGTCCACAGCCACTCCCTCAGGGCCGGCAAACTCAAGTCCCCATGAACGGCCTGAGCTTGAGGGATCCATTCCCAGCAGAGCAGGCCTGTGTGTGGGCACGCTTGCAAGGCGGCTCAGTTTCTCATTCTGCTGAAGCGCAGTGGACATCCACGGTCTTCGCTCCGTCTCTCGTCTGTCCCATGTAATGTGATTGGGGGGAGGGGGGGGCGGTTTTGCACTTTAAAAACTAGAGCCTGTGCACTGAAGTAACAAGCTAATGCTTATCTGGGTTTGCTTACTGCAACTGTAATTTAAACAACCGTACAAAATACACAGGTCATGGCTGAGGAGAGAAGCGCAGAGACAGGAGCAGCTGTGGGAGGAAAAGACACAGCTTACTGCTAAAACACCCCCCCGCCCCCCCACTAAATCATGTGATCTGAAGAATGTCATCTCCATAAAAAATTAAAGAGAAATATCCACACATATCAATCTATGTTTAAAATAAAACAAGATCTTCTAATGTGCCTCTTTATTAAAAGAAAATAAAAATGTCATTTCGTGATCCCGGACCAAACAAGCTTTACAGCACATATCCCTGCTCTGCACAGCGGAGATCTGCTCAGCGTGGGGGGGGGCAGGGCCAGCCCGAGCTCTGACCCCCCCCAGAGCCCCGCAAACGCTCACCGCGTGTGCACCTTCACACATTTACTGTGCAGACATATGTATACGGCTAAGCACACACACATATCTAAACATGTCTAAATTGTACATATATATTTATATAGATCTATAAATTTACATGTACATACATTTATAAAAAGCACAGACGTACAGCCACAAGCGCACACGCTCAGGCTGAGTACACGCACGTTTATGTACACCGCGCTCACGCACACGCTCAGGCTGAGTACACGCACGTTTATGTACACCGCGCTCACGCACACGCTCACGCTCGCTGACACGCGTGAACACATCAGACGTACTTCATATCGAAAAGGTTGGTTCCTATTAAAACAACACCAGGTTGCAATTTGGACACTTCAATGGATTCCAATGTTTTTAAAGCTGAGAATAAAAAATAATATTATTATTAATAATAATAATAATAATAATAAAGGAAAACAAATGAGAAAGGCATGTCACTGCAATGTCTGCTCATCACCGTAGGTAAGTGGTTCATTTGCATAATGTGTACAGGATCCCCCTCAAGTTTTATAGTAAAGAGCATTTCCTTTGTTATATAAACCAGAAAAAAACGAAACTCTACAGAAGGTCCCTAGCGACAGGCTCTCCTGCTGATAGGGCTGACATCAAGCTGTACAGTGCGGTCAAAAACATACATCTGAGCTCATATTACAGGTACAGCCATTATCAAGGCACAAAGATCATCTACAAGGAGATTTTCTTCAATAAAGTTGTACAAAATAATATTACATTTTACAGTCTGTACAAGATAAACCAACCTTGCACAGTCTGTACAAGATAATAAAACAAAAAATATAATATATATATTTATATTTATGTATAGGGCTATTGTCCAAGATGATCTAAGCTAATGGGATCGTCTGTGGACAGGTCAGGTGAGAGTGGTGATTGGTGGGAGGGACAGACAGCCTCGCTGCTCTAAGGCGTGAAGTGAGGAGGGATTCAGAGACCCCGCCCTGCATGGCCCCTTTCCAGAGGAGGTCGGGATGCCACGGTCCACCTGCAACTCGCAACCTCACAAACCTTGAGAAATATTGTGTTGCTACATCATGTCTGTGTCTGTCTGTGTGCAGGTGCCTCTGTGTTTGTCTGTGGGCGGGTGCCTCTGTGTGCCTGTCTGTGGGCGGGAGCCTCTGTGTTTGTCTGTGGGCGGGTGCCTCTGTGTGCCTGTCTGTGGGCGGGAGCCTCTGTGTGCCTGTCTGTGGGCGGGTGCCTCTGTGTGCCTGTCTGTGGGCAGGTGCCTGTGTGTGTCTGTCTGTCTGTGGGCGGGTGCCTCTGTGTCTGTCTGTGGGTGGGTGCCTGTGTGTGTCTGTCTGTGGGCGGGTGCCTCTGTGTCTGTCTGTGGGTGGGTGCCTGTGTGTGTCTGTCTGTGGGCGGGTGCCTCTGTGTCTGTCTGTGGGTGGGATCCTCAAAGTTACTAAGTCACCAGATGCAAATTGCATCTCCCCCCCACTACCCCCTGCATCAAGTACTCTTCAGTGTTGAAAAGAGGAGAAGCAGAGAGCCTGCTGAGGGGTTTGGCGCCCCCACATGGAAGCTGGCAGGTGACACACTGTCACAGGCAGGGCTCCAGCGGGGGATCCTTAAACACACCCCAGCACTGGCCAGAGCGGCTCGTCCAGGTACACTGACATCACAGCCCCACGACAAAACCGTCCCCCTAAATGAACAAAAAAGAGGTAGCCAGAGGCTTAGTGGAATGACAACACCGAAAAAAGGTGCTGGGGAGGAAAAAACGACAGCATTGTGTTCCCAAGCACTCCTCACCTCGATAAAATGGGGACAAGAATAGGGTGGGGTGGGAGAGAAAAGGAGGTGGAAAAACAAGCAAGCCCAATGGACAAGAGAGCATGAGGAGGTGCATGAGGAGGAGCATCTGACACACTTCAGTAGTACTCAGAGTCCCGCTGGGCCGCTTCACAAGAGCTCGTACTGGCGTAGGTGCATCCGCTGGATGATGTCCCTGCAGTCGTTAAAGACGCGGCGGATGTTCTCCGTGTCCACAGCGCAGGTGAAGTGCGGGTAGCAGTAGTGTCGGCCATCGCCACTGGCTGTGCTGATCCTCTGGGAAACAGGATGAACCAATCAGCTCACAGCAGGCGCAGAGGGGCGTGGCCAGCCCACCAGAGCAGGACGAGAATGGCTGCTATTCTTAGACGACAAGAACGGCCTGAATCGATGCTCACCAGAAACTCATCCCGGATAAAGAACTTGGCTCTGGTGACCTTTGGGTCCTCCCCGGGAACTGGAGTTGCTGGGGCAAGAGGGGACACATGGTGAGGACAACAGGGCCATCGCAGGAGGACAAACAGAAGAGTCTCAAAGCATCAAATACTGCAGCTCACAACCACTCAGAGTGTTCAAAAGACCAGCTGGACTCTTCAAACTAGTATTGTTGACCAACATAACTTTTGAAGGAGACAAAGACACGCATGCAAATAAGGAGCCCAAGATGCAAAGGAGGTTCCTTAGGAAACATTACTGCCACCAGCAGGGGGCAGTGGAGGGCGCTGCACACACCTTCACTTGGTACGGTGTAGCGAGCATACTCTGGGAAGTAGTCTTCAATTTTGGACTTTCCTGCTAAGACCTTCTCAGCTAGCATGTCCTGTTTGTTGAGAAACAAGATGACAGAAATGGTGCGTAGCCACCTGGTAAAAAGGAAGGGAGAATAATTAATGAGGAGAAGGCAAAGGCAGGAGCTCTGGACACGCTTAGAAGGGGGGGCCATGAACCGGGGGGGTCAGGCTGCCATCTCTCACTGAGGAGCAAAAACCTCACACTGCAAAGATTCCGCAGCCTACAGGACGTTCACATCGTCCCCAATGGCAAATAAAATGAACACACTTATTGTTAAGCTGTCTGCCCAGTGCAACTCAAAGGATAAGCGAGTGCAGGTCAGCTAAACGTGTCCCTAGGGTCAGGACTGCTGGCGAGTGCGAGTGTGTGTGCCCCTGTGGCCACAGGGGGCAGCACTCAGCAGGCACCTGTTGTTCCAGATGCTTCTGAAGAGGTCGAGTGCCTCGCGCAGCCGGTTGGTGTTGTTGTCCTCCCGTATGACCATGTTGTAGCTGCTGCTGGCCACCACGAAGATGATGGCAGTGACGTCTAGGGGCAGAGCGGACCGAGATGGACATTAAGGACCTCACGGGTTACGTTCAGGTTCACAAACGACATCTTTTAACAGAGCATGTACCTCCTTATAATATCAACTGTAATAGCAGAGGAAAGAATCACAAATACAAAGGCATCATTTCCATGGAATCAGCCTAGATGGGTGATGCAGTGTGGATATAGTTGGGAAGCCCAGAGGGAAAACCACGCCCCACATGGAATGGGGGCGCTCAGGGAATCCGCAGTGATGCAGTGCGGATACAGTGGGGAAGCCCAGAGGGCCTGTTCAGGTGAGACAAAGTAAACCACGCCCCACATCGAATGCGGGCGCTCAGCGAATCTGCAGGCTTGTACTGACAACCCCAAGGGTTAAGGACACGTGGCCACCATGGGCCATAGGTAGAGCAGGGGGCATAACCAGGAGCTCTATGCAGGGCTGCGTTTCACTTGCTGTCCTGTAGGGGGCGTACCGTTAAAGCACTGGATCCACTTCCTCCGTTCATCTCTCTGGCCGCCGACGTCAAACATACTGGGGGGGGGGGGGGGGGGGGGGGGGGGGGGGGAGAGAGAGGTTACTTCCTGGGAGCCATATTCTGTCACCCACAGTATGGCTAAACATCAGCTGAGCTGGCACCTGAACAAGGTACCGCCCCCAAGCACTGCTCCCCGGGCTGCTATGTCACATTGGCACATATGGGTTAAATGCAGAGGACACATTTTCGTTGTTGTGCACTGTGTCCTGTGGTGTGTCAACAATGACCGTTGATCACCAAAACAATTAAGTTAATTCTAATTCTAAGTTAATTCAGCTGTACCTCTACACACAAAGCTACAATTAAACAATTACATGCCAAATTATTTCGGTTATGAACGGCAGGATATTGTGGACAGACAGACTTATTTCAGCCATTTCAAAGTCTAATGAACATCACCTAGTGAAGCATTAATCAGTAAATCAGCATTAAGGGGACCACACTGGCTGTACACCTTCCTTGTATTGCGTTCACACCATAAAAGCGCAACAAACTTCCATTACATGAACTGCGGAGATACTTACTGAAAGTTCACTTTGTCTACTTGAAATCGCGTTTCGAAAATCCCTGAAGTCAAAACTCGGCAACGAAGTAAGTCCTGCAAGTTCACAAAAGGACACCGATCATTATCATTTCATAGGTGTAGATGTGTTACCTGACACTGTTGTTCACATCTGAAAGCCACAGGACAAGGTCCCATCAGACGCTACACTCAGGCCACATACCTGGTCTGTTGGTGTGTAGTCATTCTGACTGACAGAGTCAATTCGGTCCAAAAAGCTGTAGGGACATAACAAAAGAGTATTTATTAAAAAGCCAAATCCGTGGATGGTTGCAGCAAGCCTGCAGCTTATTTCAAGTACCAGTCGCTTGCCCCAAGTACCTGCCGAATACCTGTGGCATCGCGCCGAGAACCTGCACGTTACCCTTTGCTATTCTCACAGCAAATGAGAAACCATGCTGGAACGTCACTTTTTCCTTCTCGAATGTCTGAAAGTAGCCAACCCAGTCAAATCTAGATCAAATCAGTAGAGGCACAGCCTATTCAAACTTCAAAATTCATTCTGTCAAGATTTTAATTTTTCCTGGTGTCCCGAGGCTCTCTGTGATTCAGGAGGTCAGATGCCACAAGAACGCCCTCTCTGGTGGTGGACGAGCATTTCTAAACCCTCTGGGTCCTGCAGGAGACATTTTACGTGCTCTGAAGAATGCACCAGCAGAGGGCAGACAAACCCGGCCTGTGCTATTTTTGTCTTCCTTCATGTGTGCGATTACATAAAACAGCCATTTGTCATCACTGGAGCGAGACGGCGGCCTCCTCCTCCGGTGAGCCTGTGGGCACCTCCTTCCCAGGGCCCTGGCAGAGCAGGCAGGCGGAGTCCCAAAGAGTGACGCGCTTGCGTCGACAGAGCTACGGACACGCAGGAACCTGAGAAGCATCCGGGCTATCAGCTGCTGTTGACGGGGAGCCCCAGCAGGCCTGTGGCCTGGACAGCCGGCTGCATGGCAGATTCTGGGCAGACTGTCCGACGGGCATGCGGCAGTCAGTTCGAAACACGTTCACACAACGAACTCAATCAGTCAGAAAGACAGAAACGATGGCCTTGCACAGCTGTGCAGACAAGCTTTGCTGGGGGACTGGAGCAAATGAAAAGCTGATGTCAGAAAGCATCAAACCAGCCCAATGGCCTGGTACTCAGGCTCATGGGGGGGTATTATACAGCCAATAGGTGCCACCCCAACACAACCTCAGGCCTCTTTTGCACTTTCGGGGTAGTCTGACATGCCTTGACATTTCACCTATCTAAAAAAACATTTATCCCAAAGTGTTACATGTGCTTTTAATAATCTGAGACCATAATCTTTATCCCAAAGTGTTACATGTGCCAATAATCTGAGACCACTTAGAATGTTATTCTATTTCTATTTTTTGTTAAAATCAACTTTAAACATATGCTTTTCAAAAACCTATTTTCAGACATGCTGATAAATTGTAAAAAATCACATTATAGACATTTCTAGGTAAGACTTTTGAGCTCTGAAGCTTATAGACACAGGGGTTGGCTACACATAGGTGAAAGAGACATTCTGAAATTTTATGTGGTTTGATTACTAAAGTGTTACAACTTTGGAGTGACACTCTTTTTCTCAAAGTCAGTGGCCTGCACAATGAATATTGATGAGATAGGTGTCCTCACACATGTAGTAGTTTGCATACTGTCAATGGCCCATCAGTCTGGAATGTCACTGCACCCCACACCCATCACTTTGGAAAGGCAGTTTGAAACGCAAGAAAAGTAGCAACAATAAAATCCCTTTCACAGTTTATTGGTAGATGGAATCAAAAATGAAAAACTGTGACCATATAAATATAGAAAGCGATAAATATGATGCAGTGACTATTATTAACGCTCTGGGGACGAGGGCATCGTCGACCGTGTATCTTTCTCATGTATTTCAGTTTATATCTCGCTGAAATCATGTGGAATCATGAAAAAAACACTGACTAAATCCGTTATCTGTCTTCTTTTCAAAACTTCCATTTTCGGAAGTATTAAAGTTTATAAAATTAGGTTAAATAGGCAAAAAAGCAAACCGTGTCACCTTTCTTTGTTTTACTTGCATCGGGAGCGTGTAGGACCGCTCTCAGCGGAAGATCGCTATTCACGTTCTAAATAGACTGGGTTTGAAACGGCGATCGTGTGATTACAGGCACACAGGCTTAGCCCACTGAGCCAGGTATGAGATTCGCTGCTGAAAATGGCAACCTTGGCACAAAGCTTCAGCGGCAGAGACGTATCCGTGTGCTATATTGTAGCCGATCAGTGTAAACACTACCCAGACATGTGCTCTTGTTTATTTTGGTCACAATGGGCGTATTCACATATTTCTTTACCCAATACTAACTGTCGGATTATCATGTTATTATCATGCGAATAGCGCGATTTGCAAGTGGGTGGGCGATCAGAGCTGCTTCGAGACGCAGACGCTTAAGTCAGTCACTCTTGTTCTTTCTATTCGTATCACGAAGCTGTAAAAACATATTTAGTTTCTACCTATATATATTTGAAAAGTAGACCGTCCAAGGTTTCTGAGGGTGTTTTTAAAATATGTATATGACAAAAACTCACAGAGTTATTTAAACGGTTTGGCGAAATTTCTGTCAGATCCCGCCGGCGGGACCGCCGACCCCAGGGAGTTAAGAGCTCAGTCTCATCAAGTAACTCCCACAACCCCCTCATGCAATCAGTGCTTGGTCCTCCCATTAAACCCACAGAAGTCCTAACAGGCCAGAGCTGATGCATTACTGGCAGCACTGGCCAATCTGACAGCTCCCACAGCAAAGTCCTTAGGCGACATAAAAGACTTTCTCAAGAGACCCATCCACTAGTCTGCCACCTCCTGATTGGCAGCGTCACACAGTCATCTTCGGATGTGTGGAATGGTATTTTCCTGTGTGGGGGAGGGGGTGTGACCGGTCCCGGGACCGGTGCCTGCGTGTGCGGCGTGGAGCAGCGAGGGAGGGTTCTGGGAAAGCCAGCATGCCGTAAATCAGCCCCGACAGCTCCCAGGCAGACGCGGCCAATCACGGCCCCATCTCTTTCAACAATGCCCTTTATTTTTAGTAACGTCCCCCACAGAAACGCAGGTTATAATTATCCCACATTCGGCATCTGCTATGCGTGCACTGCTATTGGCAGCACACTATCGGTCCAAATATAGCTCCTACAACATGCACAGCAGACAAATCATCTTTCACCGTTAATAAATGTAGTAATAAGAGATCACTGCTGCACTAGCTGGGGGGGGGGGGGATGGCAGGGGAGTCCAGCAGGCCCCTGAAGCCACCCAGCATTCCCACACCATCAGCCAGACAAGAAGGAAGAGGTTCCTGCTTGTCTATGCTAAGGCAGGATATCGGGCCGGCATGGCAACGTGGAGGAGACTGGACATGGCTCCTTCACTTTGTGGGACCTTTCTGAAGTCCTACTGCTAAATGAATAAATGTGTGTGTGGCAGCACTCCTGAGTCACTGAAATACTGAGGTCCTTGGTAGGGACAGCGTCAGGGGCTCTGCATGGAGGGTCAAGGTTAGGTGCACCAAAGGCACAGTGACAATACTTCCTGAAGGTGCATGTGCCATGGGATATGCGGTCAGGTGGCAGCTAAGTATGGTCATTGCACGGGCCGCACAGCGAGGAGCTGCTCAGCCTGCCGCTGCTCGTCCGACTATCCCGTCAAATGCATAAGAATAGTGGCCAGTTACTGATTCAGCCTGCCGCTGCTCGTTCGATCATCCCGTGGAATGCATAAGAATAGCGGCCCGTTACTGATTCAGTCTGCTGTGGCTGGTCCGACTATCCCATCAAATGCATAAGAATAGCGGCCCGTTACTGATTCAGTCTGCCGCTGCTCGTCCGACTATCCCGTCGAATGCATAAGAATAGCGGCCCGTTACTGATTCAGTCTGCCGCTGCTCGTTCGATCATCCCGTGGAATGCATAAGAATAGCGTGCTGTTACTGATTAGTAGCATGATCGATAGTTTCCATATTGCAAAGGCCCAGTTCCGGGTGCCAGGCCACAAAGAGCAGCTGATCATTAGCATTCAGCAAAGCTGCGATCTCGCTCATACGTGACATGGACTCTAAAGTAGCCTCCATTTAGGCAAGTTGCGCTGATCCGTTACAACCCGATGCTAAGTCACCCCTGGGTTGGAGCTGCAACACGAGTAAGCGAACTGGTCCCACGAGAAAATCCAGTTTGCTGACCTAGAGGGCCCACCAATGGACTTCATGGCGTCCCAGTCAACATTACGGTGCCATCATTACTGCAGATACAGTCCCGTGACTGCTGGTGTGCTAGGCTCAAAATTCAGGTCCAAAAGGTGCAGCCATAACTGGACAACCCAGGCACACCACATCAAACTGCCTCGATTTAAAGGAGGAAAAGGACGACTTCTGTAAAACAACACGGCTCCACGCAGAACATATTTTCTTAAGCAGCTGTTCAGAAAGAGCACAGCTGGTACTGCAGATCTCCCACCATGGCAGGCAGCAGGGTGAAGGACTGTCTGCACAGGACAGGGACAGTCACTCGCCGCTGGCAGGTACATTAAGCAGTCACAGAAAGGCACCCAGATGCGGCACAGGAATCCCTGCGCAGCGGTGGGGAAGCTGCTTTCTAAATATAAGCCTGAGAAGGGCGGTGCTCCTGAAAACACGATTAAACAAAGCCAGAGCGAAGCAGATGAAGCTGCTCTGGCTAGCAGTGGTTTGGGGCAGAAGAAAGCAAGGCTGTGCATCAAGCAGCCTCTGATGGGAAAGTGGAGATCCTGCAGGGCCAAGGGGTGCCACACCGCCGGCACTGCCAGCTCGCACTGGAACGTGGAGATCCTGCAGGGCCAAGGGGTGCCACACCGCCGGCACTGGCAGCTCACACTGGCACGTGGAGATCCTGCAGGGCCAAGGGGTGCCACACCGCCAGCTCACACTGGAACGTGGAGATCCTGCTGGGCCAAGGGGTGCCACACCGCCGGCATTGCCAGGTCACACTGGAACGTGGAGATCCTGCAGGGCCAAGGGGTGCCACACCGCTGGCACTGCCAGCTCGCACTGGCAGCTCCCACAGCTGAACAGCAGCCACAGACACCCCACATCAGGACGACGACTTCACATAAAAACCGGGGCCGATTTCGTTTGGGGGGGGAAATGCACTTAGCAGCAATTATTACTTTATCTGTTAGTGGGAACATGAACCAATTATAAAGCAATATTTTAT